CTCAGCCAGTGAGCGGGAACCGGTCTCCACATGGGATCCGAACCCTAGGCGGGAGCGCCGCCGCACTCCCAAGCGGCGCACTCTCCAGTGCGCCACTGGGCCGGCCCTATTATACTATTTTCTAAAGAACAAAACCAAAATACATTCCCATCAAAAAGTAAGTATCAAATGGTGCTTCATTACACTTTACATTTTTATTTCCTGAGGTTGAAAATGTATTTATTTCTCCTGTAGGGTTGTCCCTGTGTTAACTGATATTTACCCATCACTCTATTGGGTCCTAATTATACTGGTTGTTTATATATCATAGATATTAAATCTTCTGTGACATGTTTTTAGAAATAGCTTTTCTTTTTCCTTTAGTGGCATTTGTTTTTATTGAAGAGAGTTACATTTTATTGAAGAGAAGTTGCTACAGAGTTGAATTTTTTGTTCCTTTGAAAGTTATATTATTTTTGTTATTTACCAAATAAACATTTCTCCAAAATTATAATGAAATATTCTGTTTTAATTCTGTTATTTGACCCATTTTAATAGTTTACTTTTTAATCTATTTGAAGTTTATTTTTTCCTATCATATAAGGTGTAATGTAAATTAATTTTTCTCTAAATTGTGATCAGTTACATAAAACAACCCATTAAATAAATGCTAATTATACCAATTAGTTTTGATGCTTACTTGATCATATATTAAATTACCCTAAGCATATTTTTCCTATAATAAAAATTCATATTCTTTACTCTTTGAATATTAATTTTTTTTATTATTGTTGCTTTGTGATGTGGTTTAACTCCATAGGTCTGTTTGTTCTATCATTATTTATTTTTCCAGCACTTTCTTTTTTTGTGTTCTTATGTATTTATTTTTCCCATGAGCTTTAGGTTAATCTGCCAGATTCTAAAATGAGACCATTTGATACCTGGGTTAGGGTCCATTTGAGATATACATTCATTATTGGGTGGGTCAGGGTAGACTGGCCTGGAGTAACTTCTTCTAAGTGATGTAGCTGGGTGGAAAGAGCCGGGCTATCCAAATGGATCATCTCTGGGTATGAGTCCCATCCTCCCACCTGCCATTTGCCCCAGTTATTTAACCTCCCAGAGCTTTACTCTAAAATGACGGGTGCCTCTCTGGTGACAGAGGGAATGCCATTTGATAACAGGCAGATAACAGGAGTCATGCAGTGCAAGCTAAGGAACACCAAGGATTGATGGCCACCACTAGACACTAGGAAGAGGCAAGAAAGGATCCTCCCACAGTCACAGAGGGAGTATGGCCCCGCCACCACCTTGATTTTAGCTTTCTAGCCTCCACAACTGAGAGAGAATAAACTTCCATGGTTTACGCCACCCAGCTTGTGGCACTGTTATGGCAGCCCTAAGAGACTAAGACAGACACATATCCCAAAAGCGTCTTTCCGTCCTGTCTTCCTGTCCATGAGCAATGCTCTCACCTATATTAGGGGTGGACCATATCCCCTGGTCATGAAGCTCCCCTCTTAACCACAGAGGGATGATAGGGCCCACTTAGGAGAGGTGTCATTCTAATTAAACGAGGGAAGGGATGTGAAACACTTGGTATAATGCCTGCCACAATATAGGCACTTAATTTTCATTTCCTTTTTATTTTCTCCCGATCACCCTCCCCTCTTAACCACAGAGGGATGATAGGGCCCACTTAGGAGAGGTGTCATTCTAATTAAATGAGGGAAGGGATGTGAAACACTTGGTGTAATGCCTGCCACAATATAGGCACTTAATTTTCATTTCCTTTTTATTTTCTCCCGATCACAGATTATAAGTTATGGTCAAAGTGTCCTTAGAACAACAATGAGAGGAATTCAAAATATGGAAAATATTCATCACATTCCTCCTTCCTAAAATTTTCCATGTTCAGTCCTCTTCCTTCCAGTCCTCTTCCAACTGTGCACATACACATGTCCTCACAATGTAATGCCTGCCACAATATAGGCACTTAATTTTCATTTCCTTTTTATTTTCTCCCGATCACAATTTGTTAGCTTCACTGGACTTTCTTAAGTCCGTTCCAAATTTTTATGTATTATAAGTGGATTCCTTTGTCTCTCTATACTTTCATAGCTGTTTCTTGCTGACACTCAAAGATGCTATAGAATATTGTCCTTTTATCTTGTTCCTTCCTCCTTTGGGAAGCTCTTGTAGCACTGTGAATGGCTCTTTTCAGATTCTTGCGGATCTTTTAGGTAGACACAGTGCTGCCTTTGGCTCAAGGCTTCTGAAAGACATGGCTGAGTTCCTAAAGAGATGCTAGAGGTGCTAGAGTGTTTTAGTTCCTTAAGCCATGTTGAGGGTTGCCTTTATCAAAAGTCAGGAGCTACTCTTGGTTTACTTCCTTGAGGACCTCATTCTTGGGTCTCCACTCTCTGATCCTCTCACCAAAAGAGCTAGGTTCTCCCATAGGTGGATCCCCCTACCCCTACCCTGCCCTCAGCCAGAGCTCAAGCAGCCTGTGGTATTTTTACATTGGGAGTCTCCTCTTGGTGTCCTGTGGGCTTTTCACCATTGCAAATGCACATGGCCCAAGCAGATAGCCCACTCTGTAGCAAAACTACACCAGGGATGGCAGGTGGATCAGGCAACTGGACCTGAGTTCTCATCTTGGCTCTGCCACTGCCTGGCTGTCGCTCATTCATTTATTTACATTTCTCTTTCTCTTCCAAAAAGGATTTAAAGTTGCTTTAAAACTATGGGGGAAATGCAGAAATTATAAGGTGGGGAGAAAGAAAATAGAGAAGTAGAGTCTGGAGAGAAAATGGAGTTGGGAATAGCAGAAACGTAAACACAAACCCCCGTGCACTTGTATTTGACCAGATTTGACCTTGAGCTTCCTAGCAGTCAGAAGCCATGAAGAAATGCTTTGGGCAAATTACTTTACATCGAAATCTCAGTTTCGTCACTGATAAAATGGAAATAAAAACCACATCATTGGATTGTTCTAAGGATGAAATGAAATAAGGGATGTGAAACCCTTTAAGTATAAACATATAACACATAGTAGGGTCTCCACAAATGCTAGTTTTTATTGTTACTGTTACTTGTTCTATGGTGTCTCCCTTGAAGTTAGAAATCAACACTGCAGCTGGTGCATAAATTGACTCAGCTCCGGAGATCTTATCCCTCTTTCAACGTAGTTCAGGCTGAGAAATGATGATCTGTAGCTAACTACACAACTGATATAAATGATACACATGTGAGGAGTGGGGAATTAATCTGCTTGCAGCAGGTCTGATGCAGGTAAGGATAAAGATGTCCCTTTATGTCAGATCCATTCCCAGGAAGAATTGGACTCGATAGAATAAAATGCAGGAGCTTAAAGGGACCTTCAGCTGTTCTTCCAACACCCTCTCTTTTGAAAGTGAGAAGGACAGCTGAGTTTTCCAGCATTACACAGCTAGGGTTTGATGTTCAAATTCCACTTATTTCCCTTAAAGGACCCATTCATGGTAGGAGACTAACGTGGAGTAGAAGTAAAGAAAAAAAAACACGCTGATGTATTTATAGTTTAGGGAAATGAAAGTCAGTATGAGTTCAGACCGTTCATTGTTTCATTGTTACTTTCAGCTGCTGTTGGAATTGTTCATCCGTCTTCCCTCTGCTGGCCCTGGCAAGTCAGGCCTCCAAGCCAAAGAGCTCTTTTTAAGAGTTCAGATCCTCTGGAAGCAGCAGACTTATGTGATTTCTTTCTGGTGTGGAGGAATTCAGGTATTTAAAGAGCCTGTTTTCCTAAATGCTTTTATGCTTCAACAGAGAGTCTCACTCAAGCACATCTTTGGGCTATTTAAAACTTACAGTGCAGTGCCTTCTGAGTGTGCACATGTGTCCTGGAATCTCAGTGGAACACTGGTTTATTTTGAGTGGCAGTATTTGACACTCTGAATCATGGGCCAAGTTCATGACGGGCCCCTCTCTGCCTGTTCCTAGCAACTGGAAGCCCACATGTGTGGGGGTGAGGAGCGGTCAAAATGGTTCAGATAAAATGATGCAGAAAGAGAATTCAGCTCTGAACAAGTGGCTAAATCCCCTTATTCAGGACACTTTGTGCCAAATGCGTGGCTGGCACTTCCATGTGCACCCTCATCTGACCCTCCAGTCAACCTGGGAGGTGTGTGATATTACCAGCCTCCCCTTATTCACGAGGTCACTCAGAAAAGTAGGCTGATGTGCTCAAGGTCATGATCATAAGTCCACCCAGGTTCCAGACTCCAAGTCCAGCACTGTTTCTTCGATTCCATTACCATCTACTCTTGGTGGAAGGAAAAGTAAAGGAAACAAACTCAAACCCAGAAGTAAATCAGTGATTTCCAAACAAGCTTCATTTCCTTCAGTCCCAGGTGTGGCCATTTGACGACTACTTTGGTGTCACCTACAGTAGTAAACCGTGTGCCAGGGAGATGAGTGTTGATACCCTTTGGTCCAGTGGCAACGGAACTTGATGATTTAAAATTATTTTTGAGGTCCAGCCCAGTGGAGTTCGTTTATCTGGCGAGATGTACTTCCTCTCTTCCCTTTCCTATTTCCTCTTCTGAATTGGTCACTTGGGATGCCCGTCTCCAGGCGCATCTGCGTGCACTTGAGATCTGAAACCCAAGCTGGTGCCACCACCAGCTGCAGAAGCACGCTGCTCACTGTCATTTTTGGAAACCAAAAATGACTGGGCACATAACGGTGATTAGATAAAGCTTGTAATTTGTGTTTGCTGTAGTCAGCGACGTGGTATTTTGGGACAAACAGCCGCTCTATGCTACATATAGCTTGGAATTTGCGGCTTTTGTGTAACCCGCCATTGTACGGTCAAGGAGGTAAAGCAGCAGTAGGGCAGACAGAAGGATGAAGGGAGAGAGGACAGGAAGCCCCCCTCAGCTGACAGGCAGAGAACCAGGGATGCTTTAGAGATCAAAGAGCCCACAGAAAATCTGTAGTTGACTTGTCCATAAGAGGGACCCAGTTCACCATCAGGCACTGGCTCCCCAATCGCACCACCCTGCTTTACTGACAGCTGGAGCCACTTGACTCCGAGGGAGAGGCTCAGCCCTATCCCAGGCTCAAGGAGGAATCCCAGTCTGAGCCAGAGCATGCTTTAAGGCCTGAGTTTAGTTCTTCAGTGACTCAGCTTTTTCATCTGGCTATTGGTATTCTCTGATCAGATGCTCAGCCTCCTTCTCTGCCCCAATTCTGGGAACAATGTCCTCACCTTTCCTCTGAGCTTGAGTCTCAGCTGGATAAAACCTTTTTTTTTGTTGTTGTTGTTCACTAAACATTGACTGAGGGCCTCACATACTAGATCAGGATGGGCATTAGGGATATAGAATAAGTCAGCCCGAATTCTGGCCCTCAAGTCACTTACTTGATGGAGTAGGAGGAGAGCCAAGAATCGTAGGAATCTGCCAATCTTGCTCTAAACAGACCCCATTGTGACAAGCAAACTGGGAGCCACCATCCCATCAAAATAACCCCATTGGAGTGGGAGAGAAACAACTCCCCAGGACAGCACGGTGCTGCTATAAGGATTTACAGGGGTGGGGGAAGGGGTACTGAGCCCAGAAAACAAGAGATTTCTGAGATTCTCTAATCAATACCTCCAGCCAACAGCTTAAAATTAAAAGCTCAAATCCCAAAAGCTCATTAACCTTTTAAGGTAATGTGATAATGAATATGAGATGAATATTCACAGCAGCACGAGTTACCAATATTGCATGAATAATTGTCTGGCACACAGAGACCAATTTGCGTACCAGTGAGAATTTTCAAGGACTAGAACTACTCCCCAATGTGAAAAGAAGCATTGTTTTAAACAAGAAATGTTACTTAGGACATCATCTTTGACTCTAGAAAATGATTCCTTTTCTTCCACCGGCCAGGGCACAGTAGATGCGTAGTAACAGCACTCTGTCTCCTGGAGATGTGGGCTGGGAGCTCTGTTGGGAACATGCTTTTTTGTTGGTTCTGAGACCAACAACTGGCTCCTTCAGGTGGAGATGCTGCTTTTGCCACCATTTATGTTTCCTCCTGGGCATTAAAATTCATGCCATCCTTTTCTTCCACCGGCCAGGGCACAGTAGATGCGTAGTAACAGCACTCTGTCTCCTGGAGGTGTGGGCTGGGAGCTCTGTTGGGAACATGCTTTTTTGTTGGTTCTGAGGCCAACAACTGGCTCCTTCAGGTGGAGATGCTGCTTTTGCCACCATTTATGTTTCCTCCTGGGCATTAAAATTCATGCCTTGAAAGCATTTCACAGGCACCACTTCTGACTCTAGTTCCATTCTCTCTACTGTTGATCCTGCCATCTGCTCCAGAGGTTCACAATAGGGACTAGAAGAAAGGGCTTTCTGCATCAGCATCCCCCCCCCACCATTTGTGTTACCAGATCTTAGAATCCTTCATACGTTACATTAGAAAGTCTTCTAGAGGTCTCCATGTCTAATATTTTGTGAAGTGTGTTCAGGGGAACTTAAATTCTACAGGATGCTGATATGATTGTATGAGAAAAGGGGGCAAGAGCATGACAGGGACCCCTAAATTTGAATAAGTTTGAGGAATGCTGACTTTAAAGAAAGTTAGATAGGAGTATTCACTGCAAGACTTCTCGGACCATCGAATTCTAATATCCATGGTATATCTCCAAGAGGGGCATATAGTTGCAGTGATTATAAAAGTTATTTGATGATGAAATTTTTATTCTGAGGTTAAGACAGACCTCAAAGAGATTTATAATAAGCCAATATTAAGCCAATAGATCATGATCAAGTATCTTCTAATGCTCCAGTTGATTGCTTGAGCCCCCATATAATCCGTTAGCAGAGAGTCTTATTGGAATTATCCAGAAGCGCCGTGTCTACCTACACCAGTACTGCACTGTATTTCCCTGCCACCAAGTTGCTCCAGAGAACACCAGACTGTCTACCGATTCTGGCATGCCATTGTTGGCCCCAGACCCTGTCCCCTTCAAGTTGACCTCTACTTTTACTGCTCTTTTCTGGTGACCTACTCAGGATCAGTGATTGTTCGCCAAAGCAGAACAGCTGTGCCTGGGGCTCTGGGTCCAGGGGACCTTCTTGCAGTGAGAGCACACCAAGACAATACCACACTTCCCATAGACACCGAGGCCCTCCTGCTGAGGCTCTGTGCTCATGACAGGGACTTCCTATTACCATAAGATGATTTTTATTTCAGGAACAAATTGTTCTACTTTGCCACAGGACCTTGGCTGAGGTCATCGTGCCACTCAAATAGGTCTCCCTTGTCTCAAATCTGGGTTCTTTATGCAAATTCATCCATCTTCTTCCAGAGACTATTGGGCATGTGTATCTCAGGGAATGACATTCTTGATTGAGATTTAAAAAGCACAGTAAATTCTCCTGTATTCTCCATCTCTGTGTAATTTGTGTACTAAAGATATCTTTCCCTGAACAAAAAAGTTATATCCTAAAATAATCACTCATCTCTACCTCCTAATAGGAAAGAGAAATGTTGACATAATTGGGTACCCCCATTTAACTCTGCCTTAATAGCTATCCTGTTTGTTACACGGGTGTTATAGCTTTAATGCCCTCCCCCCCCCAACTCACATTGAAGCTTAATCCTCATTGTAACATTGTAACAGTGTTAAGGAGGTATGAAATATGACTATAGTATATAAAAGGTGGGGCCTTTGGGATGTGGTTGGATCATGATAACTCTGCCCTCATGTGTGAATTAATCCACTCATGGATTAATGAGTTAACAGATTAATGTGTTACCATGGGAGTGGCACTAGTGGCTTTATAAGGAGAGCAAGTGTTAACATGCTCTCAGCCCTCTCACCATGTGATACTCTGCAACAACCCGGTACTCTGCAGAGAGTCCCCACCAAGAAGAAGGCCCTCACCAGATGTGCTGCTCAACCTCGGACTTCCCAGCCTCCAAAATGGAAAGAAATAAATTATTACTTTATAAATTACCCAGTTTCTGGTTTTCTATTTCAGTGATAGAAAATGGACTAATATAACCAGTTTTGGGGACACTGACTATAGTTCAACCCTGTCAATTTACAG